GAATTCGTGTGTTGTACCAGTTTTGAGTCAGCCAAAAGCTCAGTCATCATCAGATGGCCGTAAAGACGTCTCCCAGCGTTGGTAAAGGGTGATGTTCAGGCTCATTTCCTTTTCTCTCCTTTTCTAACCATAGAAAAGAAACCGGCATCACGTAATGCCCGTGTATATAATCCGTCCGCACCGATGTGCTATTTCTGCCTTTGCTTTCACGGTAAAGGCAACAGCATCTGTGTAGGGCTTTTCCATCCCCCAGAAAAAATGATATTTACAACTATTTGCATTACAGGCACTTCACAGGTGTGTTAATTCTAGGTCTTTAATCTTAGCCTTCCGATCCATTTAATTTGCTGGTGTTTTGATTTGTAGTAACAGACGTAAATGAGATTATCTATCCCCTGAGATAAACTGTCAAAGGCAAATGCAGAAGAATTTGGCTCTAAAAACATTTTAATATGCTCGTGTTGCAAACCCTGAGATGGAGACAGAGATGAACGTAGATTAGTGTGAGCCAGGACTCAGGACTCACAACACGCCGTGTGAGAAGGACCTTTGGGCTGATGCACAGAGCTGTTCCCCTGTTCACAGGCTCTCCTCCTCTCTCCGTTTCTTAAGGACCAATGAGGGTGGGAGGAAACACCTTCACAGCGTGCAAAGGAGTGTGCCAAGTGCTGCGAGGCTTCAAGTTTTTCTTTTTTAACCTTAAAAAACCAGGCGAGACAAGAATGGGTAAACCTGGGATGCTGCTTCTGGGGAAGAGGGTTGGTTTGGGGGGGGACGGCTGTGGAATCAGACGCGGGAATTGCATCGGGTTCAGGTTTTCCTATTGAAAATTGTCCATGTTTTTCTTCTGCAGAAAAAAAAAAAAATTTTTGAACAGTTTTTCTGTTAGTTTTCTAATGGAAAGTTATTTTGTCAGGGGGAAAGGAGACTAGTTCCAGGTTCCCACTCCAACTATAGAAAAAAAAGGTCTTGAACCAGTTATGTCTCTTTTTGTCTTGCATAAGACATAGAAGATGTCCCAAGGGCCTCTACCTAGAGAGTTCATTTTCAGGGTACATATTTTTTTTATTCCTGTAAATTAAACAATACATTACGCTACCAACCTTTGGTTATTTATTTGCTGTTTCTGGTACTTTTACTTGCGATTTTTTTTTCTTCATTTTTTTAATCTTTGTGTTTGCATCTTCCTTCTTTTCTTATCTTCTGCCTGCCCCAGAGGCTTATTGCTGCTTTGGCAACATGCTAACGTGCTTAGGAATGATAAGACGTCTAATTAATAGTATAATTAGCAGTACAAGGTCTTAATAGCTTATTAAAGGAAATACATTCAGAAAATTCTTCTCCTTTTCTTGCGTTGGTACAATATAATTTACCAGCAAAAGATAAAACAGTTTTGAACAGCTTTCAGACTTTTAGTAAGGAAAGTGGCGCTGGATTTGTGATTTCATGGGGGGATTTTGCACCACTAATACTATTATTTTTTTGTTGTTGTTTAAAAACAGTTTAACAGATTAACAAAAGCAACTGCGAAGGAACAATGTCGCTGTGGTGCGGCAGGCAGGAGCCTGACAAGCCTGAAAGCGGAATTAAGTAAAACTGCCTTCCCTACTTCTGCATATAAACAAATCCTGGGGGAAGGTAAACTTGCTCTTTAAGAGGCTCCGGCTGAAATGTCAGGTCGTGCTCCGAGCTGGGGCAGCTCAGCCGCTCGCAGGCTACGATCCTCCCTGCTCCTTTTCCACTAATATTTGTTAAAACTGGTATTATTTTTATACGAAGGCATCCTTGGCTTATAAACTCCAGCAGAGTAAGGACCACCTATAAACCCTGTGGATCCCTCTTGCTTTTACCAGTAAGAAACTCGGCGTCAAATCCTGCTTCGCAGGCAGAGAGCGGAGCTGGCAGAGGGAAATCAAACCACTTCGCTGCAGCTCGGATTCCCCAGGCTGCCGTGTTTTTCCTCTGACCCACACAAAGATTTCTTTCTAAATTTATCACAGCGTTCATCGGCAGTCCCACTTAGTGGCAGATTACGAGGCTGGGCAGGCAGGGCCCATTCAAATGAGGGCAGGGGAGCCTGAAAGAACACGCAGGGGATGACGCAGCCAGCGAGGCGAGGGCAGGGAGCGGCGAGGGGGCAGGTGCAGCCCCAGCTCAGCTCCCCGCCAGCCTCTCTGCTCCAGATTATCCTTCCCAGGAGCCCGGGGAGGCTCGCTGCACCGAGATGGGAGCACCCCAACCCCTCGCTGGGTCTAGAGAGGTTTGCTGGTTGCTGGAGGCCCCGGTGCTGGCACCACTGGGGAATTTCCACTGGGCTGCGGAAGGAGCTGCTGGCCTCTGCGCGGGTCGCAAAGGCAAAGCAGCATTTGGCTGCAGCAGTGCATGCTGGAGCGGGTGTCCGTGAAGCACCCCCGTGCAGCAGCCTGAGCATCCCTCAGGCTCCCGAGACCTCTCATGTCCCCCCAGTTCATACCCGCACGTCCTCGGCTCCTGCCCGCCTGGATCCGGCAGGATTGCCTCCCCCCGGCTGGTACATGTCTGTGGGACCAGAGCGGCTGTTCTGTGCCCTGCAGACCCCCACGCCGAGGACACAGACCGGTGTAACCCGTCCTGCCGTCAGTGCGTGGGTGCCGGTCGATGCTGGCCACACGCTTTGCAGAGATGAAGCCCTATACAGGGAGTATGCGCCGTGTTTGGAATCACACACGGAAATTATGCAGTTACAAGGATGGCGTAATTGAGAGAATGCTTGACTAGCGCAATTTTCTTATGTGCCTGTCAGCAAATCACTTAATCTGTGCTGTGCCAAGTTTCCCATCCGTTAAATGGGGAATGATTATCCCCCTGCTTCCTAAGAGGGAATAATACCCACTAATGATTGTGGAGGTACTGGAAGGTGGCCACGGAGATGCGCAGTAAACACACCTAGTAGCTGCAGACCTGGAAGGAACACGAAGCACTTTCAAACCAACCTTTAGAAATTAATTTCTCCTCCTGCTGCTTTTTTATTGAAGAAAATCCCGAAATAGATTTGTCTCTCCCGTGCAGGATTTTGAAAGATTTCTCTGCCGTTCCCTGGGTCGGGACGCCCCAGGTCCGACGGGAAGGAAGAGGAAAATGCCGCCATGTGCCGGGAGAAGGCACCTCGGGGGAGCCCGGGGCGAACCCCTCGCCCCTCAGCCGGCCCCCCCCGGCCCCCCACCTCGGGGACACACGCTGCCTCCTGGGAG